ATTTTCTTGATGTAATTCAGCAACTGGTCTGTAATAATTTGTAATGAACATCTGGGGTTGGCTAGTGACAAAGGGATGGGTAATTATGCATGCTCAAGGGTAGAAAACATGCCTATAGGATTTGTATTTTGAATGATTCAATTCTGCATTTAGAAAGCATGCCTATAGGATTGTTTTACATCCTGCATGTTCGATTCTGCATTTTAGATACCATGCCAATAGGGGTTCATTTAAAATTCTGCATGTTCAACTTCACACCTAGATAACCTGCCTATAGGACTTTATTCTGCACGTAATTTTTTTTACCACTTAGACATCATGCTCTAGGATCTAAACGGCTATAAATGAGTATCATGTTTATAAGGTTAAAATCAGTATAATGTATAGAGATCATGCCTATAGGAATTCCCAAGTGAAAACCTGCCTGCTTCCATTTCTCGTTCAACTAGATATCATGTCTATAGGAATTAAAATCAGCAACACTAGATATCATGTCTATAGGAGTTAAAATCAGCAACACTAGATACCATGTCTATAGGAGTTAAAATCAGCAACACTAGATATCATGTCTATAGGAGTTAAAACCAGCAACAATGGGTACCATCATCTGCAGAATCTGAAACTAGTTTAATTTAAAATCAGTCTACACGAACCAGTTTTAAATAATTTAATCCCCTATTTAACACGGTATAGCAAGCATGCCTATAGGATTTCAAACCGCTCATTTTTAAGTTTGCCACATTCTGAATCAGTAATAGATACCATGCTCATAAGATTCTGCCCCAAACACTTAGGCAAACATTAGGTAATAACAATAAATAAAACTGAGCCTGTTTCTGATAATTAATAATTGATACAACCAGCAGGCAGGCCTGATTCGGACTTCTTATCTAAGTTATGTAATAAATGGGTCTGCTTCAACAACTTAAACTCCCTTTTTGTCTTAATATTTTCAAACCCTACTTGTTGTTTGAGTCATGCTATTTGATTGCTTTGTTTGAGGAGGTATATATGAGCCTTCGTTGTTTATGTGCTTCCCCTTTTATTGTGCTGCCCTATATGTTTTGTATGTCGCCTTAGATTTTTCACCTTTGAAACCCCAAGTCAGCCTAATACCCCTCCCTTTTAGGAATAGTAGTCCTAAATGCCTCCAGGACTGATAGGAATGGGACGGGTAATAGCATGCAATAGTGGTCAAGATCAATCCGCGCTTTAGTACCTCAACAGGGTGGGAAGGGTAGATATGGATATGATGACCGGTGCGCTAATACCACGTTTAGCCCCTCTTTGAGGAGTGATTACCGGGTATTGCATTGATGTGATCCATATTATGAATAAACCTAGGACCCCCTTTCCCTTTCTTTCTTTGTCTTTAAAATATTATGACTTCCTTTCAAAATCAGCCTTTTAACAATTGCTCTTTCAAACCTTGTTTACTTTCAAGCATTTGTGTATTAAAATCCCCTCTTTTTTGAGCCTTATCTGCTTACATGTTAATTGCACCAAATTCACAAAGAATTGTCTGGCCGGGAACCACACTAGTGGATCCTGAGGGGTGCCTAACACCTTCCCCTTGGGATAATTTCAAGCCCTTACCCTATCTCTGGTTATCAAAATATAGTTGTAATTGAATCTTGTAGTGGTCCTAATGCACCATAAATCATTAGGTGGCGACTCTTCAAAAATGCAAAATCCAGTTCCCAAAAGGAACGAGTCGTCCCATACCCAAATGTCATAAACCCGATTCTCCCGCCGCGAGGAGGGAAAAAAGGGGGCGCAACATATACCGCTGCGGCGTTGTGCATAGCATTGCTCAACAAGAACTCTCGAAAGAGAGCCTGTATCTTTTTCCAATCTTTTTTTAAAGCCAAAGGCTTCAGATAGTTAGCAAGTTCTACTGGCGGGGACAACAGGTTGCACCTAGTGGAGACCAAGAGAGTAACACTCCCCTTCCTTTGCGGATCTTTTGAGGGGGCGGCACAATTTTGCCCAAAATTCCCATGAACTGGGGTAATCAGGTAGAAGGAAACTTATCTTCGAAATTATTGGTGGTAATCAGGCTCTTTGGGATGATGGTACTCACCGTAGGGAGCGGCATCGTCACTTTGCCTTTGTTCTTTGAAGAACTGGGTTTTCTTGAAGAGGATGCCATTTCTTATTAGTGAAAGAGTTTTTATTCCTCTCAAAGAAGGAAGTTGAAGATAGGTTGAAGTCGGAAGATGGGTTGAGTAAAGAAAGTCTTAGAAAATTCAGAGTGGTATGAAGTGTAAATTAAGGAACTTGATACGTATAAGTAAAGGTATAAGCGGCTAAACTCGTAGCCATAATTACCTTGATAGTCGGCAAAGGTTATGCTGAATCATGGGATGACGCGTGTTCGGGGCGTTAAATGCGGAGAGACTTGCGTCTAATCAACCGTCAGAAGCTTTTCAGTGAGGGTCAGTGAAATTTCCGCCAAAAAGCATGTTTCTACCAACTTCTTGGTGACACAAAGTTATGTCACCAGAAAGTAGGGGAACTATCTGTATAGGGTAAAATATGTTATGTTAAGTGATTGCATAAGGGAGTGATACGTGGAACCGAAGGCAGAATATAACCAAAAGCGAAGACTACTATTCCATCTGTTACCGAAAGGAATGGTACTCATAAAGATAATTCCTACCACCCGGTAGCATTTGATGGAGAATATTCTACAGCATTTAGTACACTTCCCATTATAAATAATTTGTTATTCATGCCCACCGTTGCACATTCTTCAATGGCCCTCTTAATTGACATTAAAGAAGGGCATGATCCTAGGACCTTGTTCCCTAGGTGCAGCTATATATAATGAGCTCTATTATCATTGCACTTATGCTACAATCTGTTGAAAGCTTTATACAATTTTATCTTCTTGCTTTATGATTTCATTAATGTTGTACCCGGAAGCCCTGCTCCCGGAACCATTGTTTCTGCTGTTTCATTTTCATCCCAAGGCTAAGTATTGCATATTTATTCAATTCTTCCATTATTTCAGGATCAAATTAATTTACTTGTCTACAAAACCACGTATAAATTTAATTGTACCATTTTATGGGCAAACAGACATCTGTATGGGAAGGCTGATCTCCATATTTGCATTCATCTTAATGTACATGATGTCGGTACTATTTTTCTTTGTCTTAGATGTTTGAACACTTAGAAACTGCATAATAGTTCTGGTGGTTCTCTAGCAAATTATGTAAATTACCTCTTTACCCACCTGGCCCGTATATTTCATAAGATGTGTTTCACCCTTCGCTTCAGAGTCTTAGGCGCAGCTTTTCTAGTCAGAGAAGAGTCCAGTTGCGGTTTTTATTCCAACTAGCGAGGAAAGGCCTCGTTTTGGTCCTGTAGAATGAATGTGAAAAGCAGAATCCTCAGAATCGTATGATTCAGATACCTGACGAAATGAACAGATAAAAGATCGGGCCTAAGGGGCAGTACGTAAACAAGTACAGATCACATGGTTTTGTACTGATCCGCGTACTATCTTAATTACCTTTTGCCCAGGCCTTACAAGTATGGAAAACTTTATTCTTTCGTGTACAATTACCAAGTATGGTACTATCTTGATTACCTTTTGTCTTTGATGAAAAATATTCTACAGCATTTAGTACATTATCTGTTATAAATAATTTGTTATTTATGCCCGTCGTTACACATTCTTCAATAGCCCTCATAATTAACATTAAAAAAGGGCATGATCCTACGACCTTGTTCCTTAGGTGCGGCTATAAATAATGAGCTCTATTATCATTGTACTTATGCTATAATCTGTTGAAATCTTTATACAATTTTATTTTCTTGCTTTTTGATTTCATTGTTGTTGCACCCGAAAGCCCTGCTCCCGGAATCACTGTTTCTGTTGTTTCATTTCATCTCAAGGCTAAGTATTGCACATTTATTCAATTCTTCTATTATTTCAGGATCAAATTAATTTATTTATCTAGAAATCACGTATAAATTCAATTATACCGTTTTACGGGCAAGCAGACACCTGGGAAGGTTGATCTCCATATTTGCATTCATTTAATGTATATGATGTCTGTACTATCTTTGTCTTAGATGTTTGAAAAACTGCATAATAGTATCGGTGGTTCTCTAGCAAATTATGTAAATTACCTCTTTGTACTATCTTTATTACCTTTTGCCTAGGCCTTACAAGTATGGTATTTCTACTTTATTCTTTTGTGTGTAATTATTTACTCAAAGTTATATTTTAGTATTATTAAAATTACGTTACAATACAATGCACTACCTGACTCGACATACATGTATGGCGCACGTGTCGAGAGACTAGTTCTTATAAAATAAAGAAATACTTACATAAACGTATCCAAAAAAAAAAAAAAAAAACAGTCCCCACTCGCTTAGCCAAAGAATCTATTACACTAAAAAGACCCATGAAAAAAAAAAGAGATAATTTTTAGTGGGTGTGATTGAAATTTGTTGAAAATACATGGACGAGGATATATACAAAATTTTGAGGCAAATCGGAGGTTAGTTTGACAAGTTTGAAGTCAAAATTTGTAGCTGCAATCGAATTGAAGAAACATCATTATCACATGTATATATTGTTATATATCCGTGTATAATACAAATAGGTAGACGTGAATATACATAGATATATAGGAAGTTACAATATATATACAGAGAGCTGCATAAGGATACACAAATATACAACGTAATACGTATAGATATATACCCGTTTTGCTACCAAATGCGTTAGGTATTTGAAATCTGAATGTAATTCCAACTCAACTCTCTCATATCTGCTTTAAAGCTCTAGTACAAAAACAATAACTACGCTTCACGTAATTAGCTTCGAATTTTGTTCAAATTAGCTTCAGATGAACAAAAATTTCAATAACAGGTTCCTTCAAACAATAACAACAGAATTTAACTCTGTTGATTCCTTGCACTGCTTTTTTTTTTTTCTTCAGATTTCTAACTCTCGAGCTAGCCATTGTTGCGCAGCATTCCTCCAAATAGCCTACTACTCCGGAGGTTGTGCATGCTTTTGGGTCACTACTAGCCATGAACTATGCCTTTTTGGCTTCAAATTAACGATTAAGATTAGAAGAATTAACCCAAATAGCCGTCCATTCGACCACTTAAACTAAAAATAGCCAGTAAATGTATAATATATTTGCATATTTTAAATATTATATGCGTATAATTGAGTATGATTAATGTGCAGTTAAATTTGGATCTAACAATTTCTGATCTTTTCTGTTTGAGATTGTTGTGCTACCTTATAAGAAGCTTTGAAACTTCTCTGGTAGAAGAGAAGCACAGAACCGAAGTGTTAGCCACTGAAAAAAAAAAAAAATAGGCCTAAAGTGAGTGATAGATGAGATTGAGCCAAAATGGATATTTATTTTTTCATTTTAGTCATATTATGTAGTTTTCTCTAAAATTAATTTCCAATTACAAATTCTTTCTTTCCAAAAACTGAAGGAGAACAAATACCACATAAGAGTTAGGATAAAACTTGTTATTGAAATGTTTAACAGATCCGTTCCGAAGGAGAGAATTTCAAGATAAAATAAAGACCTTAAAAAAGTTGCGAAATAGACCTTAGAAAGACCAACCACTAACGAGTTTAGAGTGGTTTACTACGCATATAAATGTCAAGGATCCTACGAAAATGTAAGATAGGACAGCAAATATCTACGACAACAAGAACATACCCAGTAAAATCCCACTAGTGGGGTTTGGGAACGGTAGAGTGTACGCAGACCTTACCCCTACCCCGGAAGGGTAGAGAGGCTGTTTTCAGGAGACCCTCGGCTCAATAGAAGGACAGCAAATATCTATTGGAAAAATTAGCAAATTCTGCTACCATTTTGTGAAAGACGTTGTGTAGTCCCTTGCTAGGCCAAAAGGAATCATGTAATTTGTGCTGGGCAACTTTTAAATTGAGGCAAAGAAAATTAAACAAACCACTTTTAGCGGGGTTAAAGCATAGCTTTTTTTGCTCGGAGTAACCCCGTTTAGTTTTTAAAAAAGCATCTATGAAAGCTGGAACATGCAGATGACAGAATCATTTTGGTCAAGTCCATTCCAGACTAGAATTACTGTGTCTAGTCATATCATTCTTTAATGAGGGAGGATTAGATGGTAGCTTCATACTCACCATTGCTTCTTCCCCTTTTTCTTTCTCTTGCTTCCACTTCCGCTTCCACTAGCGTTGTTGCTAGTACTAGTGCCAGCTGATCTCTGTGGTGTGCTGCCATCAAAATCGCCAAATGTACCAGATTGTACAGCATTCTGTAGCCACTCAACAAATTCCTCCTCGGTCATGGTTTCTTCCATACTTGGGCCTCTTTGTCCTGAGCTACTTCTCTTCCCATTGCTGCTCTTCATGGTTACACTTGTATTTACATGGAAGCTTGGCTTGTGACTGTTGACCGGACATCTCATTCCCTGCATCATGTTCAAGACTTGATTATCTAAGATACAGAGCTGCACTTGCTTAGTTGTTTTCAATAGGTGAGCATTTTCTGTTAGCTCAAAAGAGATGCTCATTTATGGAGTTAATCTTTTCCTAAATATGGAGAAAACAACAGTATAGCACCCATGGCAGATAAAACTGAACATCATCAAAGCTTAACAAGTAACTGGTGATGGATTTGATTTTTTTAGTGGCATTTCAACCCCCTCCATATCCCTCCCCCCCCCTACCCTCTACCCCCCCCCCCCCCCAAAATAAAAAAAGAAACATAAAAAAAAATTATTAAACCAGGATATTTGATCCCCAACCACACTATTAATTTTGTTGTCCTTCTATGGTATCTGAAGAAAACTTGCCAAGTCGGTACCTTATCTTGATGATAAAAAGCAAAAAGAATTCAATGAAAACTACAGTAATGCACTTTTAAACTCCTAACAACAAGTTCTTCTCATTTCCCAGACCAATTCCATTCAAACGTCCAGAAAAAATTGAAACCTTATACCAGATGGTGAGAAGAAAAAGTTTACCTGACAGATATACCATTCAGTAGCATTATAGATCCTGCTATCAGCACAAACATAGGTGACAGGATTATCTACCTGCACATATTGGTGGAGATCAATAGTGTCACATATACCACAAGGATGAGAGAGAAAAATAAAAAACTACAGAAAAAACAAAATACTTAAAGAAGAGACTCGTCATGAAAGAAAGTCTTCTCAAAAGCTTTTGCTTTTTCATTTTGTTCAGTTAGTTGATACCTTCAGTAGCATTCCAAAAAAGAATGGATGTGAAGGCTGTTCAACCCATCCATCTCCATCTTTTGCTGGATGAAAATCATTGCATTCCTATGAACGGAAGAGTAAAAGGTAAATATCATAATAACAAAACGTATGCTAGAGAGGAGGAAGACAAACTAGAATATGGTTAAAGTGCACAGAATTCAAGAATATATAACATGCTTATATTGTCGCTGGAGGGAAAACCTGGCACCATCTTGCTTTGGACTTTGTTTTCTTAGTGAAAACCCAGACATGAAAGTTGCCACACTTCTTGCAAGTAATTCGTCGAGCGTCTGCAAGAGAATCCTCTGCCGCAGCTTCTGTCTGTGTGAATCCAGAAGTAAAGAACCCATAGCCTCTACCCTAAAATTGTTTGGTTAAGCATGAGACAGAGTTAAGTGAGTATAATCCAACATTACAATCACACTTCAGGAGTATTTTCCAAATATAGTTTCTGGTACAAGATGATCCTTCCCCATAAATACATAGGACCTACAAAGACATGGGACTGCATTTAGAGCAAGACCTTTACTGATAGATGTCATTACTTATATCATGAACCTACGGGGGCTCACTCCTATATATAATCGAGTTAACCTGGCAAAGAAGGCAAAAGAGTTAAGACTTAAGACTGCATGTGAAAACCCATTATAACTTAAAGCTGCTCCCATTAAGAACTTTCTCCCAGCTGGTTTCTTCAGCAAAAGGTGATGACCGAGGGCTTAAAGGCATATATCTTTCACAAAACATAAGATTTGTCAAGGACTTCACCAATCTCTTGATTCAGTTAGATATCATTTAAAAGTTCCTTTTCTATTGTAGAAAAAGGAAGTTGCAAAAATTGAAACAAAACATCTTTTTGCTGAACTCGCTGCATATTTGACATATGCATAAAATGTCAAGTCTAACAGATGAACTAATTAGATGACTTAAAATTTTTTTTTTTTTTCATTTGAGAATGGTTAATTAGATGACTCAAAATTATATTAATTCAAACCTTCTGTGAAGGACTTTGGAACCGCCGAAGGTAGTCCAGCAGCTCTTCCCTCCTCAATTCATCATCATATGCTTTTCGCTTTAAAGAATCAAGTAAGACCTGAAATAATCCAATTCTTACCAAATGCGGAAATGAACACCAAATAGAGAACTCAAATCACAAGACAAACTGTACCTCATAGGCGTTTTGAAGTTTCTTAAAAGCTTCAGCAGCCTTTTCATTGCCCATGTTTTTATCAGGATGAACCAGCATTGCCTAATAGAAGATATACTTAGCTGATTGGTAATATTTTGACTTCGATAGCAAGGCATTTCTAGTTAATCTAGCATTGTCAGACTTCAAACAGATGTTCAGAAAAATCAGATATGAATATTTTGGGAGTAAGAATTTCAGGAGGGTACAGAAGAATCACCTTTTTCCTATATTCTTTCTTGAGAACTGAAGCATCTATATTCTGAAATCGGCTCAGGCCCAGTGCTGAATAGTGATCTGTACTGTTTAACAATCTGACAACTTCGTCTTCAGATGTCATATCAGTGTCAGATCCACTAGTTGAAGGGATCCCAGTGCCACGATCAGCTGTATGAACATACACATCATCAGCAGATGGAGGCACTGATCCACCAGAATAGAAGCTAGGTTCACCTTGTACTCCAGTTGTTTGATCAGGAAAGCTGTTTGGCCTTCTATTATCATTTACATTGTTTCTTAAGAAGAATATGAGAATATCACTCGAAATAAATGATAAATTCAAACCAAAGATTAAACCAAGCCATCCGACATATGTCCATGCGCAATATACAGAATACAAATTTACGACAAACACCGCAAGCCGTTCATGCTTCAACCTGTAAAGCACTCCTAAATTTAAAAAGAAAAACAACACTTAGTGGAAAAAACTGGAATCAATGTGATAAAAGTAAAAGCAACTGCTCAACACTAAAGCATAAAAGTAATCACCTCCACTCAAGACCAGAAGCACCGCTGCCCAAAATCTTCCATAGAACCACAAGTAACTGATGCTCACTGCAGCAACTCCTAGAACTGCGATGATGAACCCAGTAAGAAGTCCAATCACAGCAACTGCTGCCTGAATGTTAACAGCAATTGAATGAAGCAAGATGATTGAAAGGTCTCATATATGCAGTTTAACGGAAGGAATATAATCAATGATTACAAAGAAAACACAAAGGCAGAGAGTGACCACAGGAAACTCCACAAAATCAAGCCACTAATTTATCAAATTTACAGTCTTAGAAACTGCTGAAGAAATTGGTCAGAGCCCAGAATGAAGAGAAATATTTTACTTAAAAACTATAGTGACCACCTTCAGTAATTCAAGAAGCATTAACAGAATAAGATGGAGTCATGGAGCAAAGTATACACAGTCAAAATCAGTAAAAGTCAACTATTAGAATCTCAAAGCATGAAATGGTCAAACTCAAGAGTGGACACTGATTTTTGTCCAAAACAATTTAAACAAAATGACACTTTTAGAAATGGCCAAAACTAATTTAGTGACTTTGGGAAAACAATCCATAGCTCCTCAAAGCGATTTCCGGAGTTCTGGTTCAGCATGAAATCATTCATGAGCCAACCCAAAGATGATAAGCAATTAGGGTTAGATATATATGCTCACAAACACCTTTTATTATTTGAGGGGTGAAGATGTTGTTTTCCATGCAAGAAAAGAAGCTAGTCGCTTACCAAAATTAATAGAAACTTGAATTTAGCGGCTGCAATCAAAGATAGAACACCCCACCAGATGACTGAGAGAATTGAAGTCATCCCCATGCATAGAAAGGACTCAATTCCTCTAAGAGCACAATCCAACCAAACCATTGATAATAGAATAATTATATTTCCAAAATGCATGATCCACCTTAACACTATAGGATATGCATGCTGAACCCTTTCTTGAACATACCCAGTCGCAATGAATAAATTGTGCATGATCCACCGAACCACTATAGGGTATGCATGATGAACCTTTTCTTGAACATGCTTACTCGCAATTAATAAATTTCTCCTTAAAGGGTCAAGCAAAGGTTTCCACCTCTCTAACCACCGAATTGATGCCTTTGAGACAGACAGAGCCAATGTCATCAAGTTCCTAAAAACTACGATAATAGACACTTTAAAATTTTCTAATATATTGTCTCTATCTAATCCTGTTCCGAACTGGCCAAAACATCTATTTGAATTGTCTGAGCGGTGACTAGTGTGCGGAGACGTCTCACCACCTTCTCTTGACTCGGGAGTCACCCCTCTACTTTTATGACTTTGGAAAATTCCTGCACCACAGCCTTCTTCAGGCCCTATTTCCTCTGCAATTGACAATGTATCAATATCTTCCTTTTCCTTTTTAAGTGATCTTCTAGATTTGTGCTTGCTTTTCTTGCCTTCACTTTCATGTGTATTGTTGAAGCTCTCTGTTAGAGATATGCCGGAAAGATTACCATTAAAAGGTTCTGCATTTTTGCCCTCTGCCTCAGTCAGACTACTGTTTTCATTCTCATTTACAAATCCAGATCCAGAATCTGAAACTCCTTTTCTGTACTTCTGTCGGTTTCCTTTACGAGCCATTGACCAAAAAAGGTATCAAAGAATGGTCTAGCAACAAGCCAGTTCAACTCATCTCTAGTGCCCTCATTCGATATCGAAAGACCTGTGTCACAAGCAATTCATAAGTAAGCAAAATTTCAAGAAATTGCAAGCACCAACAAATAGCTTTAAGGTGTTCACTAGTTAGATAGCCAAACAATGAACACGTAAACAGTCATATCTTATTCCTCATGCATGTAACTCAGTCAAATTAGCTTTGTTCACCATTGGCAGCTGTGACTGTAAAGACAAAAGCATTCTCCTTGTGCTTATTCCCTCAACTATAGCTAAATATAGACACTTCGGCTTTACAAAATTGGCAAAATTCCAGATCTAGGCAGATATACGAAAGGGAAGATTTTTTGTAACTATCATTCAGTCACTCATACTCCATCAGAAATTTATCATCTATCATTAACCACTTCTTTCTCTGCACTATGCTTTCATCTTCCCTAGATTTCCCTTGATCTAGTCGGGTTATCAGTAAAGCATTGTGTGCTCTCCATTACAATCACTTTCCTTAAGCAGGAAACAACTAATCATCCAATAAAAGGAGCAACACAAGGAATTAATAATGTATTTACTAGCACCAATCTCAAAATACGAATCTGAATGAGTTTCTGCGATGTATTTAATAAGAAACATAAAATACAAGAGAAGTTATTGGTTAACCTTTAGAATCATATTGAACTTAAAACATATGGTATCTTTTCATTATATGTCAAACTTTTGGAGAAGGTAATCTTTTAGAATGTAAAAAGTAAGATCTATCTTTGGGAGAGTCCAATCAGGTCATAAGGTAGGATAGAGGAACTGAACAGGGCATAGCTTCAGCATGAGAATTTGGTGATATATCAATGTGAACTGTGCAGTAGAACAATACTTCTGCAACGCACCTGAAGATAACTTCCTAAAATCAGAGAATGAATGAACACAAGTTTGAGTCTAGTTATGTGCCTAAGAAAAAATTACAAGTACTGCAATAAAAAAAATTAAATAATGCAATCTCTACTTTGGATGTCTAAACTTTTGTCCACTTATTAAAGTGTAGGACTTTTTATAGCAAAAGAACATTTGCTGATGTAGAAGGAAAAGGTTATATAATGTGGACATGATGATATCAATTGAACACAGACAAAGCACTAACAATCAGAGTTATTAAAGGCTCTTTCACGCTTATGCTTTTAAGCTTAGTTTAAGCCAGGTTGTGCACTTTGCCTCGATAAACTAGCACTTAAGTGTAGGCACTAAGGTGCAAAGGCTGTGCATCATCACTAATGGGCTCTATCTCTAAGAGGGCAGCACTAGATAATAAATATATTTGATAAACGATATATTTATTGTTAAAAAACGCTATGCATGATCTTTTCAATGACAGGAATAAGAAATTAAAATTTTGTATAAGAAAACTAGCTCCAGAAAACATAAACTACATCTTTTCATCTACATCAGAAATTCGAAATGGTTTTTAAACTTGATTGATATGATTTTACTTCATTTATTCTGCTTGATTTCATTTTTTCTTCATTAATGCTTTTCTTTGTTCAGACTCACGCTTAAATTCCGCGCTTTGGGCATAAAGGCCCGACAGATTTGGCCTTTAACTGCGACTTACTTTTGACTACTTTTTTTTGGCGACTAGGCATTCCATTAATTACCAAGTGAAACAATACAAAACCGGCAAGACCAAAGCTCAGTCTCCTGCTCCTAGAAACTGACCACTCCAACTATAAAGACTAAACTAAGTGTATGAAATCTTGAAGCACATCTCCTAGGGAGAGTTTCTTCAAAGTTTCCATACTCAGACAAACAATTAAAACTCCTATTACATCAGACAGACTAGTTAATGGAAATATAACTTTTGAAGTAGACACCTAACTGTCTCTGATGTTCTCACATTGCAAATACATGCTATGCCTTTTGCAATACTATCACAGTGTCTCTTGCAAACTATGTTGCACAGACTCTCCAAAATGTTGCGCACTCGTGTCGGATCCTCCAGAAATACGCTACTTTTGGAGGATGTATTTTTGTAGGATCCAACACGCAACCGGGGATGTCTTCGGAGAGTCCGAGCAACATAGCTTGCAAATAACTTTGATTACATTGCTTACAATGCAGATTGTTGACATTATTACACTAAATACATCCCTGCAAATAGCTGTTGAAAAATAGATTCATGTAGTTTCTCCATTTGTTATTGGACGTCGTATATTCCTTTTTTCCCCCACCAAACTAAGCCCTCGTTTTCTAATACAGCCAAAGATGAAATGACTTCCTCTTTAACTACCCCAACAAAGTAAAATTAATGAAAAGTAACAGCATAATTTTTCACTTTGGCACCCACTTCACCAATTTAAGATTTTGTTGTGTGGCAACATTTTATGCTTAAAATCCGATATAGTCCGCCTATGGTTATTAAATGGAAAAGAAGGAAGCAATACTTCATTTCTTGATGAGCTCATTTAATCTGTCAAATTATGGCCATCACTTTTAATAACATGAATATATGTTTGTTACAGTATTAGAGATACTGCAAAACCTGGATCCTATTCTGCAGAGATACGGTAATTTCACCCTCCCGGCACATCCCAATCTTGATAAAACACCAATAATGACCTTCATTAGTACCTTAAACTTCTATCAAGAAAATATTTTAATGAAACATTTGAATTACAAGTAACACTGAATTTATAAGACTATTATACAAGCAGAAAGCAAAAGTAAGAGGATACATTCTGTATCTATAGGGGTAACAACACCAACAAACCTAGTGAAATTCCACAAGTGGGATCTGGGGAGGGTAAAGTGTACGCAGACCTTACCCCTACCTTATGACGGTACAAAGGTTGTTTCTGAAAGACTCGGCTCAAGAGCAGCGAAAATGAAGTAATAAACAGACAATAGTAACAACACGGTAATAAGACACGGAAGCAAATGGTGCAATGTGCAATAACAAAGATCTAAGAATACGACACTACAAGAATAGAGCCAATCCTACTGGAAATAATGATACATCAAGTAATAGCAAGGGGTTAAGAATAGGAAAATACAAGACTAGTACTAATACAGTAATACTACCGGAAAGACGTGAAACTCTAGACTGCCTCTCATCCCACAACCCTAATTCTCGACCTCTACACCCTCCTATCGAGGTTCATGTCCTCGATAAGTTGAAATAGAGTCATGTCCTGCCTAATCACCACACCCCAGTACTTCTTAGGCCTCCCTCTACCCCTCCTCTGACCCGCCATGATCACCTCTCACACCTCCTAACCGAGGCATTAGAGTCTCTCCTCATCACATGTCCGAACCATCTCAGCCTTGATTCCCGCAACTTATCTTCCGCAGGAGCCATGCCCACCTTGTCCCTAATATATTTATTCTTAATCTTGTCTTTCCTGGTATGCTCACACATCCATCTCAACATCCTCATTTCCGCTATTTTCAACTTCTGGACATGAGACTTCTTGACTGGCCAACACTCGGCTCCATACAATATAGTCGGTCTAACTACCGCTTTGTAGAACTTGCCCTTAAGTCTAGGTGGCACATTCTAATCATACAAAATACCAAAAGCGAGCCTCCATTTCATCCACCCCGCTTCAATAGTGCGATATCCTCATCGATCTCCCCGTTACCCTGTATTACAGACCCAAAACTATCTCTCCTTAGAAGACTTGTGTATCAAGATTCACGTCCACTTCAGCTTCATGTACCCCAGCAGTGAACTTACGCTCCAAGTATTCTGTCTTCATCCTGCTCAACTTGAAACCTTTAGACTCTAGAGTCTGTCTCCACACCTCCAACCTAACATTAACCGCGCAACGCGTCTCGTCAAACAGCACTATGTCATCTGCAAATAACATGCACCAGGACACCTTTCCTTGAATGTGTCACGTCAACACATCCATCGCTTGGGCAAATAAAAATGGGCTAAGAGCTGATCCTTGATTCAACCCCATCACCACTGGGAAATAATCTGAGTCTCCTCCCACAGTCCTCACCCGAGTCTTAGCTCCATCGTACATGCCCTTAATCACCCTAATGTACGCTATCGGAACACCGTTAATCTCCAAACATCTCCATAACTATAGATATACATTTTTAGCAGCACATGTCGATGCTGAAATGTTGACCTCTCAAACTACATACTGTTGTTTATCTAACAAATACAGTCCTGGGTGGCAAGATTTGGGAGCACTTTGAGGAATACTTGTCCTAAACTGGTTAAGCAGAAAGCAAAGATTTTGCACAGCTGTAATGCTATGCTTTGGCTTGGCATACTGCCTAATTGAAATTCCCAAAAGGACAGCAGTAGGACAATGGTCTACGACATGATCAAATTAGATGTTTTCAGTACTCAAATATGATCAAATGGACAAATTATAAAATCCAAATTAACTATGAGACTGATCCAAGAATTGGAACTTGAAGCACTTCATCCAAAAGAGAAAGAACTGATCATGTTTTCGCAATATAAGTAACCAGAAGAATAGATATTTCTACTCCAACACTAGCCTCCACACCCAAAACAAATGCCGTCCACCCAAAAAGAAAAGTTCATCGGTTGGTAAATTTGCTCAATTTAGAAAAGCACCGTTTTACAGCAGAACAAGAACCACCCAACAAGATTATGCGGCGCACATCATTGTACTAACACAAATATAAATACAGTGGTTATGTCCCATCAAAGGTCCTAAACAAATTACTATATTTTTTATATGATTCCATATTTTCTTGATTTTGAGCTAAAGTAGAATACCCTAGATATTAGACTAAACCCTTTGAAATATGAAATCCAAAAAAGAAGAAAAGAAATACATGAAGAATAAATAGACCCATATGTCAAAATATAAAACGTAAAGCAAGAAAAGCTTACTAGAACAGTTGAAAGGATGGAGCAAGGCAGTGCGTAAATATGGAGCAATCGAACACCAAAAGGAAGAGATTAGGGGGAAGCGGGCAATTACAAGGACCACAGCTAATCAAGACTTAAGTCGAGCAGTCAGCAGCCGCCACAACTCGTAGAGAGAGAAACCCAATATACATTCATTAATAATCATATATTTATAACTAATATTGTTAAAATAATTTATATATATTTTAAATTAATAATATTTAGTTTAGATACTTACAAAAACTAAAAAAAATATACGTTTTGTACGAACATCAAGGAATTCATGTTTGATAAAATAAATTAATATTTATAAATATAGTGTCATAACATTATTCAAATGTTTGACAAAACTAATCTACCAATTCTAACTAAAAAATGAACAACATGCAATGTGAGTCAATACTACAAAACAAGTAAATTGGAACCATGAATATAACACAATTTCAAAAATTCAAAAAAATAAAATAGTTTAACCTATGTCAAATTTCAACATAATAATAGTAAGTCCCACTGCAACTTAAGATAGGAAACATGATAAGTTTATAACCACATTTAACAACGAAGTTCCACTTTAATTGCATCACTCATTATATGCCAAGTTTATTATGACTTATTATTTCTAATATTAGGAGGTGTAGTTTCAAAAATAGAATAATAAAATAAATAAAAAATAAAATATAAGCAATTACATAGAATCACAGGAAGTAAAGATAGAGAAATAAAAGATAAATAACATACAAAGAAAATATATTTTAAAATTACAAAAGAAATTAAAAATTAAAAATAAAATAATAAAAATAAAAAAGTTATAAAGAAAATAAATTAAAATAAAAACAAAAAGGAAAGAAACTAAAAAGCAACCTTGTAATTACCCAGTGTAATTACCTCCAATTTTCACCTCCCCTTGAGAATTGGAGAGTGTAATTACACCCCTGCAATTAACCCCAATTCCATGCTGACCAAGTAATTACTTGGCCAAACAAATATGCCAAACTGTGTAATTACACCCAATTACACTTAAATCCAATTCCAAGGTGGCTTCCCAAACAGGCTCTTAAGGAAGAAAAAAAAAAGTAAGCGGAAGGAGAAAACAAAGTAAAAATGGGAAAAAATAAATGTAAACCTATTGCGTACAAAACTCACATCAGTACAACTATATAATGAGACTTATATAGTAAAATGTTTGGTTTTAATTTTGGTTTTGAATGTAGTGATCTTGGCTTTTATTTCTTATGAAAATAAATTGCTATCGATTGTTTGGCCAAGCTTTTAAATCAGCTTATTTTGAAAAGTATTTTTCTCAAGAGTGCTTCTCAAAATTATATTTGATGATAAACAGTTTGTATTTGGCTAATTAATTTGAAAATTATTTTTGAGCATCAATTAGTGTTTCACCAAGCCTTTTTTCTTAGCCAATATACCACTAGGCAGACTGCCTAGTGGTTATTAGTATATAAATAATAATCCGAAAACAAGGATCCAAAGATTATATATTTAAAGAATGCTAAGCCAAAGCTAGGAAATCTGTAAAAGTTAAATATTACAAGTGGTATCATAGACAGCTTCAAGCATATGGTGGTGTGTGTATCCACAAGCCAAGCATGTAGCACCTCTAGCGCTCTCACCAGGCGTCAAGTTTTGCATTCCAAAAGAGAAGACAAATGTGAATCTACAACAAACACCATCAATTCCAGGAGCTGTCCAAACTTCCAAATAGCATAACCTTACCATGTGAATGTGTTTGCACGTACGTCTTCTGCAAACCAGCAATTCCAGTAGCATCATGTAGTCAACTGCTTTTGACTGGCTTCATCCAAATTGGCAAGAGCTGCCAGTTAACTTGTAAATAGTTGGCTATTTCGTGCATGTGAAACCAACTCCAAGTGCTGCCATGACACCTCCAGATTGGGCATATATATTCCAATACCATTGAATAGTGCCATAACAATAGTCAGAATTCCAATACAAAACACTGAACATCGACATCCATTGGATACCAGTTTGTTAACACACTTAAACAGTTCTAGAGAATGTTATAGTGTGAAGCTATGAACAATCTGAAGACAAAACTTGTCTCGTACCGTGGAGAAGTTTAGTATATGAAAATACCTTAGTCTAGACAAAATGACATATTCCGCAACTGCTATGGCCTGGCTGTTTCTGCGGTCTCGCACCTGGGACCTAATCCTCACAGGTGCGATTGCGCTAGAACTTGAAATTCTTCAGCATTTCTACTAAGTCTTAACATGGTCCGCACATATTCGAATCGCACCCGAGGCCCCCGGGACTCCATCCAAACATACCAACGAGTCCTAAAATATGATACAAACTTAGTCGAAGCCTCAAATCACATCAAACAATATCAAAATCACGAGTTGCACCCCAATTCAAGCCTAATGATGAAGTAATAATCTTCCAGCTTCTAAAACTAATGCCGAACCATATCAAAGCAACTGCGAATGACCTCAAATTTTGCATGCAAGTCTCGAATGACACAATGGACCTATTTCAACTTCTGGAACCACAATCTGAATCCAATATCAACAAAGTCAACTCTCGGTCAAACCTCTCAACCTTCTAAACCTTCAACTTTCAAACTTTCGCCAATTCAAGCCAAAACGATCTACGGACCACCCAATTAATATCCCAATATACGCCTAAGTCCAAAATCACACTACGAAGCTATTGGAACCCTCAAAACTCTATTCCGGAGTCATCTTCATAAAAGTCAAACTCCGGTCAACTCTTTCAACTTAAGCCTTCAACCTTGCGACTAAGTGTGCCATTCACCCCAACACTTCCCAGAAACCAATCCAACCTCCCCCGACAAGTCACATAATTACAAATAAATATAGAAGAAGCGATAAATAGGGGAACATAGCTACAATACACGAAATGATCGTCCAGGTCATTACATTAATTATTGATGATTATTTGTTCGAGTTATGTTACATGCTAGTTGACTTACTTAGCAGGTTGGGTTAGGTGTCATCACGACTTGGTGGGATTTTGGGTTGTGAAAAGTACTTTTTTAAAAAGCTCTTTTGAACAAAACACTTTTCCAATAAGCTGATTTTTTTTGCCAAAGAAGCTATACATTTGATTTCGGGAAAATTTAATTGTCAAGAAACGGTTTGAGCCCTCGATTTTCACCTCGATATATCATGACGTAAGCAATAGAGGTAATCGAAACGTCTCATCGGTACAGTATTCCAAGCATTTAATGCGTGCCAGTCGACGGTCGGCCACTACCAGATAGTCGACGGTCGGCCACTACCAGATTTGAACCGTCATCTTAAACCTATAAATGTATCTTTCTTCGTTTTTCAAACTTTACTTTCAAATCCACTTCACTCTAATCTCCAAAACCCTTTGCCTTCTTCAGAGCTTTATATTCTCAGATCTCTGAGTTTCTTCACTTGTTTCTCCACAAATTACCAAATGCTCCTCCTCGATTTCATTCTTCTTCATAAAAAATGGCTAAGACTTCAAAAACCATTCCAAAAAAGAAGAGTGCTTCATCGTCATGGTCGGCCGGTGAGGAAACGGCGGAGGAGCCATGCCTTGAAGAGTTTTTCCCCGGAGGGTGTGTCCTTGATTCTGATTTCAAGGTTGAAAAGACTTACTCGGTGCCGGGCCGATGCGAGCCAGTATCGAGGTATATATGCTCGATAACCAAAAAACTCCTCTCCCAGGTTAAAAAAGATTGCAACTGGGCTAAAAAACATTTAGTGGTGCTTGCTCTAGAAGAATCGATCACCACCCACGTGAAAGGGTTCTTAAGATTCCCTTGGATCCGATTATCATATATTTCTACAAGAACTACAAGGTGACTCTCGGTCAGATCCACCCCTCTTTCTGGAGAATAGTGATACTACTTCGTTTCTTTGCAAGCAAAGTTGATGGGCTTCCCTTCACCCTCGATCACCTCATACGCCTATATAGCCCTTAACTCTATCGAGGAGGACTAATAAAGCTTCAACGTCGGGCCACTAGGGAACCTTTCTCGAGCATAGACAAGGACAAAGACTGGGGCTGGATGGGCCAATTTGTTCGAGTGAAGACCTCGATTCATCCCGGCCAAGAGTATGCGATTTCTAGTGTTTTATTGGATGCAGTCGTTTCCTGGATGCCAGGTGCGATTCCCCAACTTGAGGACTGGGCCAGGAGCCTGATATCACAATTGAAACATGCTGAGCGCGCATGGCGCGATTTGGCGAAGGGTCGATGGGAGGCTAGTAGCCATGGTAAGTTTTTCTCCTCCACTTAATGATTTGACCACTGTTCGATTATTTTTCGGAACTTACTCATTTCTCTTCTTTTGTAGGTCTTGGGAAGGAGGTGATGATGAGGCCTCCGTCTGGAGATGAAGAAATCCCTCCCCCATCATCTGTTTCGAAGCCGGTGGGGGAGAATAAGAGGAAGAAGGATTCGACTTCCGCAAACTCTGAGGGGCAGAAGCCCAAAAAGAAGATAATCTGTAAACCCAAGGGGAACATCATCTCTTTAACTTTAGAGTCAGTCCAACGGCTAATGGAAGAGCCCGAAGATGAAGAAGAAGAGGGAACCAGGCTGGTGGCTTGTGTGTGAGCCGGTGTTGATGTTCGAGGAACTCCCGAACTAGTGGGGGCTGAGACCGTGCTGCCACGACCAGATGAGCTCGAGAAAGCCTTAGACGAATTCCCCGAGCCAGAAAAGGTTGAACTTGTTTTGCCTTGAGGTAAGGAAGCTATCGAGGAGGCGACTGATGCTGATATTGAAACCGAGCTCGAGGCTCCCCAAGATGAAGACGGTGTCCCAAAATATTTACCTGGGGTGATAGAAATCGGAGATTCCCCCTCGTTTCCTTCATTTACTGAATTGATTATTAAGGATGCTCAGGCGGCGGAGACTTTCCATAATGAAGGGTCGATAGTTTAGAAGACCCTTTCTGTGGCTATTTTGTCGGAGTGGAAGACGCCACCGGTCTGGGTGACTTGGAGATACCAAAGAAGTGCTCAAGTGAGGCTTCCTAGAGACTTAAACTGACCAATCGGTTTCTAGCTCCAAGTATTGATCCCGGGCACAAGCGATCAATTGTCATCTCGATCCCGGAGGATGCTCGGGTCCTTTCTGCTCCTGTAAGGGTGGCTAGCTACCTTCGGTGT